AGAGGTTTCTGATCGCACTCGTGATTACGTCATGAATCAGTCTCAACTGAGGTTATTGTCTCCTGCTGGAGATGAACCATGTCAAACACCTCTAAATCCTATTGTCCATGTGTTGGGACCTGAAACACCCCCAAGGCAGCATCGCTCAGTAGTTTGGGATGTCAGAGATTCTATCAATAAACCTGATACTGAACGTATAACACAGCATCCACTGAAGTCAGTGCAAAAAACTCATGGAAACCAAGTTCCGCCGTTTACTTCTACTCCATATAAGACAACACCTCAACCATCGTTCAACAATGACACTAATGTGAGTGAGGTCGCCAGGTACTTAGCACGCCGAGAGCTTGTTAACTCGGGTCTCTTCAGGTTTGACGATCGTCCTGAGAATTATTGGGCGTGGAAGTCATCTTTTGTCAACGCAATTGAAGGTTTGCAGCTGACAGCTGCTGAGCAATTGGACCTTATGTCAAAATGGTTGGGAGAACAGTCTTCACATCATGTGAAAAGGATCAGAGCTGTGCACACTGGTAATCTAAGCACTGGCTTGAGAAAGGCTTGGGAGCGCTTGGAAGATTGTTATGGCTCTCCAGAGATGATTGAGAAATCCCTCTTTGACAGGATTGATAGCTTTCCAAAAATCAGCAGCAAAGATGCGAAGAAGCTTAGAGAACTTGGAGATCTTCTACAGGAAGTGGAGTCTGCGAAACAGGAAGGCTACCTACCCGGACTTACTTATCTTGACACAGCTCGTGGTGTTGCTCCTATTGTGGATAAGTTACCTTACAGTCTTCAGGAGAGATGGATGTCTCAGGGTTCTCAGTATAAAAGTGCATACCAAGTCGCCTTTCCTCCATTCTCATTCTTCTGTGAGTTCATCTGCAATGAGGCTCGAACACGCAATGATCCAAGTTTTGCTCTGTCTTCTGGAATCCCTAGTGTGTTGAAACCAGAACAGCCATTTAAGAGACAAATGAAAAGCCAAGTCTATACTCACAAGACGGAAGTGTCATTAGGGACTGGGAGTCAGACACGCAACTCAAATTATGAGCTGGGTGATGTGGATCAGACCTGCCCAATCCATAAGAAGCCCCACCCTCTCAATCGTTGCAGAGGTTTTAGGACCAAACCTTTGGATGAGCGCAAGACTTTCCTAAAGGAGAAAGGTGTTTGCTACAGGTGCTGTGCAACAACCACTCATCTGGCCAGGGACTGTAAGGCAGCTATTAAATGTAAGGAATGTGGCAGTGATGCTCATATTGCAGCGCTTCACCCAGGACCGCCGCCTTCAAATTTATTCGATCAAGGCGGGGAGAGAGAGATAGACACGCCTCAACCTGATATTACTTCCAAATGCACTGAAGTTTGTGGTTATGGCAAGAGTTCACGGTCATGCTCTAAGATTTGCCTGGCTAAAGTTTATCCAGAAGGCTGCCCAGAAGGAGCAATCAAGCTTTATGTAATCCTGGATGACCAGAGCAATAGATCGCTCGCTAGAACCAAGTTCTTCGACTTACTGCATGTCAATGGAGAGACCTCAAGATATACTCTACGTACCTGTGCGGGTGTGACAGAGACCGAAGGAAGAAGAGCTACAGGTTTAATTATAGAGTCTTTGGATGGAGTAACGAAGGTGAAATTACCGACATTGATCGAATGCAACAATATGCCGGATGACAGGGCCGAGATACCAACACCTGATGCAGCACGTTGGCACTCTCACCTAAAGCCCATCGCTCATTGCATTCCTCCTTTGGATCCAGAAGCCCAAATTCTACTTCTTTTGGGTCGTGATATCCTTCAGGTGCATAAGGTACGAGAACAACGTAATGGATCCTATAACGCACCCAGTCTTCTCTCTGGTCCTGACTTAAATAACAGCCTCTTGGGAGTCTTACTGCGTTTTAGAAGGGAGCTGGTAGCTGTAACTGCGGACATCGAACAGATGTTTCACAGCTTCATTGTGAAAGAGGAAGATAGAGACTTTCTTCGGTTTCTCTGGTTTAAGGATAATGACACCAGCAAGGAAATCATTGAATACCGCATGAGGGTACACGTGTTCGGTAATAGTCCCTCTCCTGCTGTAGCCATTTATGGTCTTCGACGAGCAGCGGCTTATGGTGAGGAGGAGTATGGTTCAGACGCCAGACACTTTGTAGAAAGACAATTCTATGTCGATGATGGGCTTTTGGCGACACCCTCAGCTGCGGAAGCAATCGATCTGATAACACGAACAAAGAAAATGCTGGCTACATCGAATCTAAGACTGCACAAGTTCGCTTCTAATAGCAAGGAAGTAATGAGCGCATTCCCGGGTGAAGACCATGCCAAAGGACTCAAAGATCTCAACTTGGAAGTCGACCCTATTCCTATTCAACGTAGTCTCGGACTTAGCTGGGATGTGAAGAGGGACATATTCACCTTTCATGTAACTGATATTAAGAAGCCCTTTACTCGCAGAGGGATACTTGCTACTGTCAACAGTCTCTTCGACCCACTTGGGTTTGTTGCTCCTATCATCATTGAAGGAAAATGCCTGCTACGAGAACTCTCAAGTGAAGCTGTTGATTGGGACTTTCCTCTCCCTGTAGATAAGGAAGAAGCATGGAATGTATGGAGGAATTCCCTGCAAGATCTCAAACAGCTGGAGATTCCTAGAACATACGTTTATACCACCCTCTCTACAGCTCTGAGAAAGGAACTCCACATTTTCTCTGATGCTTCTGTCAGAGCTATTGCAGCAGTGGCATATCTTCGTGTCATCAATGCCGAAGGGGCATGTCATATCGGATTCGTCCTAGGAAAGGCCAAACTAACTCCGCAAGCTGCTCATACTATTCCCAGGCTAGAACTAGGAGCTGCGGTTTTAGCTGCAGAGATGGCAGAGGCGATCACCAATGAGCTGGACTTTACTCTAGATGCTGTGGAGTTTTACACGGATAGTAGAGTCGTCCTGGGGTACATCTATAACCAGACAAGGCGTTTCTACGTATATGTAGCCAACAGAGTGGAGCGTATTCGCAGAGTGTCAAGCCCAAGACAATGGCACTATGTGTCTACAAAGCATAACCCTGCAGACCATGCCACCCGCTCCGTTCCAGCAGCTTTGTTGGGCACCACTACCTGGCTTACAGGACCTGCCTTCCTGTCGCAAATGGATCAGAATCAGTCTCCAGAGGAGAAAGATTTTGACCTCCTTGGACCAGAGTTGGACACAGAAGTTCGTCCTCTTGCTACTTCTGTATCTGAAGATTTTCCTCTCGAATGTCAACGATTCGAGCGATTTTCTTCGTGGAGGTCATTAATCCGAGCAATAGCTTTTCTCATACATGTCGCCCAGACTTACAAATCATCTGACGATAGAGGAAGTGTCTGTAGATCGTGGCACTATTGTGCTAAGCCTCGTACAGTGAAAGAGCTGTTACAAGCAGAGGAAGTTGTAATCAAGAGCGTTCAAAGGGAAGCTTACCAAGAAGAGCTTACAAGCTTCGTGAAACAAAATGACATGCCAAGGCACAGCACTCTAAGAAAACTGAACCCTTACGTAGATAGTAGAGGCCTTCTCAGGATTGGAGGTCGGCTTAAGAATGCAACTCTGGATTTCAAAGAGAAGTTTCCTTTGATTGTTCCAGGACGCAGTCATGCTGCAAAGCTGCTTGTGGAGCATTACCATGATAGAGTCAAGCATCAGGGTCGTGTGTTTACCGAATCAGCTATCCGCAATGCAGGGTATTGGATTGTCGGTGTCAGGAAGCTAATCAATAGCATTATACACAAGTGCGTCATATGCAACAAGCTTCGAGGGAAGGTAACTGAGCAGAAGATGGCAGACTTACCCATCGATCGCCTGAGCACTGAACCTCCCTTCACGTATGTTGGTCTGGATGTTTTTGGACCTTGGACAGTCGTCGCAAGGCGCACGCGAGGAGGACAAGCTCAAAGCAAAAGGTGGGCGGTTCTTTTCACTTGTCTGAGTATTCGTGCCATACACATTGAGCTGATTGACTGCATGGATTCATCCACCTTTATAAACGCCTTAAGAAGGTTTTTTGCTCTACGAGGACCTGCCAAACAAATCCGGTCTGACTGCGGGACCAATTTTGTAGGAGCCTGTAAAGAGCTGGAAATTGTGCTTAATGATCCTCAAGAGCCTAGCGTGAGGAAGTACCTGGGTGGAGAAGGTTGTTCATGGGTCTTCAATCCACCTCACGCATCCCACATGGGAGGAGCCTGGGAGCGGATGATAGGAGTCTCCAGGCGCATACTAGATTCCATGCTCCAACAGATCAGTCCTTCCTGTTTGACACATGACGTGTTGTCTACTCTGATGGCAGAGGTTACAGGAATTATCAATTCAAGACCCCTTGGCCCTATTTCCACAGACCCAGACTCACCTTTCTTGTTGACGCCAGCCACACTCTTAACTCAAAAGGGACATACACTCTTCTCACCTCCAGGTGACTTCCAGGAAACCGATCTCCATAGACAGCAATGGAGAAGGGTGCAACATCTCGCCAACACTTTCTGGAGCAGATGGAGGCGTGAATACCTCACATCGCTTCAAAGCCGAAGCAAATGGCAAGAGGAACGGCGAAATCTAAGAGAGGGCGATGTTGTCCTTCTTAAGGATGCTCAAAGTAAGCGCAATGAATGGCCTATGGCTCTTGTAACCAAGATTTTCACCGGCAGTGACAAAAGAGTCAGAAGAGTTGCAAGGAATGGGTCAATTAAGACATTCCTCAGACCTATATCGGAAACAATTCTGCTCATGCCAACAGAGGACTGAGATTTTGAGATCTTGTGTGTACAATATCAGGTTATAGTGGTATCTAAATAATACCAGACGGGGAGTGTCATGGCACACATTTGTTTTTTAATTTGTTAGCACCACCTTGTGGCAGTTTGGTGTTATAACAAAGAAATTGATGACTGTAAGATGGTTTCTTAGTGGTTGGTTTAGATCATGTGACTCTTAGGTTAGAGGTTATCCAGGAATAACCGCAGTGTTCCAGTATCTTTCCATGCGGTTGGTCTACAAGGCTCTTCTCTGTTTTCTTTACATTTTTGTGCCACGGAAAGGCTTTGCCTGTAAGTTTATTACCTTTTTTCAGTGTTTGCATGAATGTATGTGTATATATATATATATATTTGAAATTCGTTAGTTTGAGTTTAAAACCGAACTATTCAACAGTGATGGCAATTTGTTAACAATAACACTAAGCAAAGCTGATTGTAACCTTTTGGTACAAATTCAGAGAATATTTGTTAACGATGTAAATTTATTTGTGTTTATTTTGAGAACATTGTGTAACAAGACATGTAACCTTTGTATATTTCAGTTTTACAAGAAATAAGAAAGAAGAGGAAAGAACATAACAGTAAAACTTTCAACTTTACTCCTGCGTCTGCCCTTTTCTGACTTCTGTTAACTATCTGTCAGTGTTGCGTAGATGGAACGCGCATCTAGGACAGAATAGCGCGTCATGATCTCCGTGAACTGAAGCGCGAGACCTGAAACAGCCACCGCATTCGAATTTGTTCGTTTTAAATTGGACATTTAAAGCTTTAGTCTTGTAGATTAAAGCTTTAAATGTCCAATTTAAAACGAACAAATTCGAATCGAAAGCCAATATCTTTCTGACTATGTAATTATGTAGCTAATTAATTTCTCTCTAAATGTGCATCCGGAGATGGAGATGTTTTTAGCCGAAAATCATTTAGAAAACAATAGTTTATTAATAAACAATTAATGCCTCGTTATTTTATATTATTTTATTATCAGACACATTTATTATAGCCTATAAATCACCTATAATCCCCTTTCTGTAAGCTGTGGTTACGGCTCTTCTCATTCAGCACTGCAGGGAAAGTATAATTTCCAGGTTCTAATTTGGCCTCAGAAAACCAGTAAAATATATATTTTTTTCATATTAATTTGTCAAATATTTTAAATGTTTAGAGGGCAAAAAATCAAACAAATATCTGAAAATTCGTCGATATGTAGCCTATATATAGCCTATATATTTTTGCGCAGCATTTGGCATAGGCCTACAGTTCAAATTAAAATGTTATGCAATTTTAAACGGTTAATCGGTTAGACATGGACACCCCTATGTGCATCTTGCTTCAGATCATAACGTTCCATAACACCGATAAACTCCACCTTTTACCTTGAGCACGCCTCTAGCCCGAGCTGGCCCCCTCTGGCCCAAGGTATTCGACGGGCCAGAAATCCTGGCCGTTGGCCCTGAGGAAGCCCCGATCAAGCCACGGAAGTGACAGTGGAAACGCGACTGGCCCTAGCACGCACTAGCACGGCCCGGCCCTGGCCCGGCAGTGGAAACGCGGCTATTGCCGTAATCAGTCCAGGAACGCGCGCTGTGTGAACAAAAGCCAGGACCAATGCCGTAAAGGGTGTGTCATATAGTGATGACGCTCGTGCCATCGCGCGACTCTGTTGCTCTTAGAAGAAAGTTTGTGTTCGTCATCAACAAAGAAAGGACGAACAAAATACCTGCAAACTGGAGCAAAGCAGAGACCAGGAGCTCCTCACTATCCGATTCTGTACTGAAGCTGAGATCGTTCACCAGCTTTTTGGAACGGTATGCGCGTGTCCATGTTTTCGACGCGTCCCTTATACGTCTGATCCTGACGTCATGTGTCTTCCCAGGATTTTTACGGGTTGTGTGTGAACGCACTCACAGATCCCGGCAAATCACTTGCAGTGTGAATGAACCGAAATCAAACAATCCCGGGAAAAATGCTGGGTCACATTTTCCGTGTATTTTCTGGAATCTCTGTGTGAAAGGGGCTCAAGTTAAACAGGGCAATCACACTCCTCTTCAGTATCAACAGGAGCTTGCGGCCGGAGTGGAACATACACAATCAACACTGAGGGCTTCATTCAGCAAACACTGGGTGAGAATGTGAACTGGAGAATACTGGCGGTTAAATAAACATAAACATCCACACATTGCAACTTCACGTCAAGTACAATACTGTGTGACACTTCAATTCAGGCACAGCATATCCATCCTCAAACCTCAGTGCAATAAGGCCAGCACTCACCCAATGATCAATCCTTCCACTGTTACGCTGAATCAACACTCAGAAGATGAAGAGATGCAGATGACTTCTCACAGCATGGAAAACAGCATCTTCAATACTTTTTCACAGTCAGAAGAAGATATCAGGATTTCAATGATGACTCAATTCACACTCTTAAGTGACAATTACTGTATATTTGCGGTCAATGCACTTCACAATTCCTTATTCAATGCAGTCCAAGACATGCATTCACACAGATCTGGTGTTTCATTACTTATCTTCCTCTCTAGAATGATGGCATTCTCCAGTCTTGACTCAATCTCCACAATTCACTCACTTCACATCCATTGCACTTTTCCAGCTTGTATTCTCACAATCACCGTTGCACCCTTTTCCAGCCCGATCCTCACAGCCCGCTCCAAAGATCCCAGCAAATTCAAGCCACTGCCAAAGGAATAGATTTCTCCCGGGGGAGTACCACACTCGAATGCCTTTTAGGCTGCATTTACACTGCAGGTCTTGATGCCCAAATCCGATTTTCTGACTATATCCGATTTTTTTGACGACCTGCTTACATCATCTTTTAAATGTGACCCATATCCGATTTTTGCATTCACACTATACACTGCTGAAACTACCAAATGCAGACGTTCTGATGGTTCTAAACCGGGAAATTAAGCAAAACAGCACGAAATTCAATGGATGCCGATGCGAATAAAATTATCCAGTGTTTTCTTTCCACAATATTTCAATAAGTCATCAAAACATTGGTCTCGTACGGCGGAGAAAAAAAGAGGAGAGGCTCTGGCCATGAGCACTTAAAACAGTTCCTCATATCTCGTGAAATGTCTTAAAAAACGTATTTATTTCTGTAACAACCCTGCATTTTTGCCTGCACTCTTCACCCCAAACACTCAAAAGACATGAAACCTCCGCATTGCTCCACTGTGTGTATCCTTTCTTCCATCGCGCGGCTCGCGCCTATAATCTCACAGTTTTTAATGATGCGTGACTCGCATTTACTGGGGAATATCCGATTCGTCTGCTTACATGGCACACGCAAATGCACGTATCTGATTCATATCCGATTTATTACCACAAATGAATGAGGCCTGAATCTGATCGGAGAAAATCAGAAATCCATGCGTTTTTTTCCTGCTTACACGTTCACCGGTCATATCCAATCTGTGCCACATGAGAGGAAAAAATTGGATTTGGGTCACTTGAACCATGCAGTTTAAACAAGGTCCCAGATAGCAAACTGACATTGAATCAACGTGGAAACGACGTCTCTCATGACATTGAAACAACGTTGATTTTGCTCATCGAATTAACGTTGAACCAACGTCAGACGCGGCATTCTTCAAAGCTAAATGAAAATCGAAAATTGGTTTGCTTTCATAACGTTGAAACAACGCGTTGATTTCAAGTTGATTTTCCGTTAGTTTTGAAAGAATGACGCGTCTGACGTTGGTTCAACGTTAATTCGATGAGCAAAACAATGTCAGATCAACGTTGTTTCGATGTCATATTTCCACATTGATTCAATGTCAGTTTGCTATCTGGGGTCTTACTTTCCCTTTTAACTGCTTCTTTAGGCCATGTTTCCCAATCACAAATCCCCACACCAAACACCCGCACCTGTTACCGCTTAGCTAATCAGCTGCCGCTGTCATGGCAACTGACAGCAAGCGAACCAGCACGGTGTGTCAGTGAAATCGTCCCGGGGGGAAACACACTCGCAGCGGAAATTGGTTCCGCTGGATTTGTCACCTTGTGACATACTATATACATGATAAATACCTTTATAAAATGAGTAGGCCTACATGTACAACTTCAGGTCCAAAATGTTTGTACTCGTTTTTCGTTGACACAAAATAGCATTAACTAAGTCGATATAACGCCATCGCTGGCATTTGACAAAACTAAAACATTACATCTGAAATTATTCATGCAAATACATTTAAAATGATTAAGTCTAAGTTAAGTCTACTTACAGGGTGTGGCCCAAGAGCTGCTGCCTCTGGTTTTAGATTTGGAACTGCTTCACGTTTTAGTAACAGTTTCTTGTTGAATCCAGTGTTGAATTTGTGGAGATTCTGGAAGCTGTCTTCCGCAAATGCGCAGCACAGAGAGCTGAATTACGATCGTCATTTTCAGGAACATAATCAAACATAAATTGTATCCATTTTTGATGAAGTACAGCGTGGGAAGCTCGAACACAGAAGACCTGACAGCTGTGTGAACACAACACACTCGACGTGCCACAGAAATATGCGCATGCCCTTTTTTGCATTTTCCGGAGGGAGGGTTGATGCAAATCTATGGGTTAGTGATATCCAAAACCCAGCTGTAGTCCCAATCAAGTCATTTTTGTAGAGATAGGTCTGTCTGTGGACTGCGAGAGAGGGGCGTAACAGGAAGTGGGCGTAACTTGAAGTGGGCGTAACTTGAAGTTGTCCAAATCACACAGAACCACAGGATTTGTTGAACTCAAAACGAGATGTTGTCGCTTGTCAGCAAGATGCCAGCTCGTATAGAGACAACAGTAAGAATATGTTCCCAAGATAACTGTGTAAACGTAGTGTATAAGTGTATGATATAAGTCTTGACGTTTTTTAAATTGCACAAGGGTGGAACATCGAGCTCTTCAATCTCTCTCACTGAGTGTCACACTCACACAGATGCCAGGTCATTCTACAGAAACGTCCACTTTTGGTATGGAAAGATGTCTAACATTTAAACTTAGACAACATTATTAGATTACCCTTTGACTTTATGAATATAAATTACAGCTTAATGATTTTTTTAAATATTTTTGTGCATTTATTTACTATTAATATTGTGCAATATTAAAGTTTTTTTATGATTTTTTTTTTCAGAGTTCAACAGAGTTTGCCTGTTTGTTTGTGTAACTACTGACGACCACGGCATATGCGCACAATTTGTGTGTAGATTAAATGTTGCTGTGGGAACACTGAGAACCTTGTTTGCAATCAATGTTTAATGTTGTCGTATTGATAGTATTCGAGGTAAAACTTAAGGAAATGTTTGGATTTGGAGCGTTTCACTTTCATATGAGTTACTTCCTGGTTTGCCATGCCGGATGGGAAATTTTGTCGTCTTGCGTTGATAATGAGTTACTATGCTGAAGCGCCACTACATAAACTACATAAAGCGATTGGTTTATTTGAATATTTGTGTATTGTGTGAAGCTGTTGCATTTCTGTGCTTAATGTTTATGTTATAGTCATTTAGATTGAATGCTAAATTATACTATAATATTTATTGAGAATGTTGATTAATATATTATTACAAAATATTTATTATAATTAATATTTATTAATATTTTATATTGTTTAGAATTCATAGTATGATATGTAAGTGGTTATTAATATTGTCATTTACGCTGTCTTTTTATGTCTATAGG